GGGGGGGGGGGGGGGGGTAACACCTCCCAATAATTCAAACATTGGTCAAAGTTGGTCAAAATGGAACTAATATTTGCCCAAAGTTGGTCAAAATGAAACTAATATTTGCTTAAAATTGAAGGTAAAACTCGGAAAAATTTGGTAAAAGTTTGGGATGAAAGATGGTCGAAGTTGTTTAAATTTATGAAATGGTTCGCAATCTTAACAATTTTAAAGCTTCTGTAACGTTTGTGGCGAAAAAATCGGGAGCCTTGCTTATTTTGGCCGAAAAATTTTGAATACGCTTACATTAGTCCGGAAATTTTTTTTTGACTATGTTAGTCTGAAAATTTTTTGTGACCCCCCCGTCGACAACATTTCTGGGAAAAATTTTTAAGACTTGGTCAAAATCCTGGGAAGTCCTGGTCAAAACATGACGACGTCGCGACGTCCCTGTTTAGAAAGGTCCATTCTAGGACAGCTAGTACATGTATGACAGCAGATGAGCTAAGCCTAATTCCCTTACAGAGAACGATCCATACTGACAGTTGAAGGTAACCAACCTTTCAATTTTAAACTCTTGCTTTTTGTTGGCACCCAAGACATTTTCATGCGCCCACCCATCGTTCAATCAGATAAAAAGACAAGTTTACCAGGAAAGTACATCGTCTCCTACTGGCCTGCGCAGGCCCAATGATGGTGCATTAGATGCACATCAACTTTCTCCCAGCATCTGAATTTTCTGACCATGCACCCTTCCATTGGGCGAAAAAGAATCCACACCCCTAACATATAGACCAAAATTACACCCCTGTTTGTTTAACCCATTAAGCACCAGCACTCTCCCCTTGATGAGTAAAATAATCTGGCATTAGACAGAGTAAAATAATACAGTAGGGTGCATGCATGAGGGCACAGGGGAGAGTGCAGGCACCCAATGTCCCAATGGGATATTAGCAGTCCAAGGCTTGGTGAATGTATCATGGGTGGAGCAAAATGAAACTTTGATAAATATTCAGTAATGAAGTATTCATACACTGGAACTGTTTTGTACTGCAACAAAGATCATGAGTTTCATCAGTATACAATATATAATACATAGAGGATAGTATATACAATATAAGGTGGACTTGAATGATGTGGTATCTTGCACTTCACTTGGTGGAATAATTATTAGAATGTTAGGGTTTGTAAGCCAAGTGATTATATACATTTTAAGACCTGACCAGGAACAACTGCGAAAAATGCAGCACAAGGTCCTCTGGTAGGAATTGAACCTACGGCCCTGGTGTAGCGCTCTAACCAACTGAGGCCAGCTCAACAGCTGGCCTCTGTAGCTCAGTTGGTTAGAGCGCTGCACCGGAATCGCAGGGCTGTAGGTTCAATTCCTACCAGAGGACCTTGTGCTGCATTTTTCGCAGTCGTTCCTGGTAAGGTTTTGAAATGTATATAATCACTTGGCTTACAAACCCTAACATTCTAATAATATGTACAATATATAATACATAGAAGATAGTATGTACAATATATAAATATACATATAATTTATATCACTACTTTCCTGGCACAGAACCAGCTGCCATCAACTAGTGGAAAATGCCAAGATGAATTTCCTGTTTGTACAACAGGATCATATCTCTGCCTATGAAATATCAGTGCATCTCTTTCGACACTAACTCTGATAGTATGTGATCTGATCCACTTCATGTGGGAAGCATGATTATGAAATGCAAGGAGAAACCTGTGTTCACGAAACTTGTCCCGAGTAACAAGAAATGGTGCCATGTTCCACATTGCATTTGCATACATTATATACAGATCATCATCACCAACATCACTCACAAAGTATTGAACATTGTTTGAGAGGAAAGATGGTGGGATAGATGTGTTGAGTAAGACCAAAACTTTCCTTTCTTGTTGAATAAAATGATCTGATACTTTTAACAATATATTGAAATTAAATCTCTTCTTTTGTTTTTGAACACTTGAAGACAATCCAATACTCATGCCGTCAATGATGACATCACATGGAGAACATTGTTTTATAAATGTCACAAACTTACAAAACCTTTCTCTTTTGCCAGCTTTTCCCTCTGAGTTAAATATACCTTCTATAGTGTTTAAAATATCTAATTTCAACTCTTCTCTTTCATTTGATGTTAAATATCCTGGGTCTAAATATTTTCCACAGTTGTTGCATAATCCTTCTTTTGAAATACGACATTCCTTCATGGTCCAGCTATTCACAGGATCATTGTCTAACCACTCTTTTATTGCATTTAATATTTGCAATGTCAGCAGTTGACCACTGTGGTTATACCAGAGCAGAACTTCCGTAGCTTTGTTGTATTCAGATATTTCACTTTGAAAACAAGACTTAATCAGAGCAACTGTCATATCTGGAGGTACGGACATGGTGATGCTTTTCTTGGATTTAAATGTATAATGATGCATCTCATCAAAAAGTTCAAAAGCTTTATTTTGATGGCCATTTTCAGCAAGACTAGTGATTATAGGAAAATATGTTCTTGTGTGTCTGAATAATCCAGCATTTTTCATTTGATCAAGTACATTAACAGCATTTATAGATTGGTTTCTTTTAACATAAGATTTGATCAATGTTGTCAAAGCACCTTCTCCGCAATTTATATTCAAATCTTTAATTTTTGCTCTGATTTTGTCCAGTGTTCCAAAGTCTTCGTTTTGATTCAAAATATAAAACACACTTCCCCATGTTCGTTTTGGTAGTCTAAGTAAAGATAAATCATCTGCTTTATCCAATCTCTCAAATATTCGAGATCCTTTCCCTGATTTCAAATCTATTTCAATTGATTTTTCCAAGTTTTCACCAGTGGAGGTTGTCAGAGGCGTTGTACCTAGCATATTTCTTGAACGTTGAGAATATTTTGAGAAAATAGAACACATACCTGTGGCATTTTTGAGCATTGATTTATTCTGCACGCAGATTCGAAGGTAGTTTTGATAAAATCTAGTGGCATTCTGCATAATATCGTTTTGTTTTATCTTATAGAATCATTAGAATGAAAAATATTTCTCAATTTCTGCCTAAATATGTTACTGAGGAGCCTGCGATTTCGGTGATGATGATGGCAACGTGATTGTGAACTTCTTCTTATTGGAATATAACGGATCCACATTCCACCTCTTGTGTTGCCGCGTGTAAACAAATGCAAAAGCGATGCACGTTTTTACTCATGATCGGCAGTTTTTCGTAGACTGCGGAATATTTTCAGTCAAAATGCAGACATTCATTAATTTAGGGACCGGGGGTGGGCTAGCAAAATTCAATTAATAACTAAACAAAATGTCCTGACCCACCCCCTGCATCACAAAAAAATTCAATGACCCCCTTCACATGAATTCTAAAAAATAATAACCCCCCCTACCACCACCACCACCGACAATATAATAAATGTACAGTGCTGTATAGAAATGCGCTTTTTAAACTTGTTCGGTAAAAGGCATCAGCTCTTTCATTTACTTGTGCTTTCAACAATTAGTATGCATGATTTAACCCATTAAGGGACAAGTCATTATTAATGCCGGGTAGGGGGCTGGAGGAAATTTTTATGAATAGCAAAAATTTTTCCTGACCCCTTATTTTTCTAACAAAATAATTTTATCCCCCCCTTATCGAGGCAACATTTTCATAGCCCCCCCCCCGCCCCCAATTCTGAATTCAATGACTCACAGGTTCATAACCATTTTTCCTGCCCTCCTACTTGTTTACTTGCAGC